CATGTTTGCCATTAAAAAATGTCTATAAGTTCTTATCCCTCATAAAATTTCAACTAATACTGGAATACAAAGTTACAGTGTTGCTTTAACTTTGTACCCAAGCAGGGGCGGATTTAGGAAATTTGGGGCCCTAGGCACCTGCCTAGTTTGGCCTAATGGTAAATCCGCCCCTGCTTGGGTACAAAGTTAAAGCAACACTGTAACTTTGTATTCCAGTATTAGTTGAAATTTTATGAGGGATAAGAACTTATAGACATTTTTTAATGGCAAACATGTAAAAAAAATATTAGTGGATATTCATTTAATTTATAAAAATATTAATCTTTATTATTTTAAATGGTATGAATTTAGATTCTCACGCCTAAAACTCAAACCAGCTGTTTTATTGCAAAGGAAAACTCATGTAAATTACTGTCCAAGAGAATTTTTAACCTTTTATGCATCCAGATTGAGGAAAATTAGGCCCAAAGTATCACAACCATGAGTGGATCCTCCTCTTCTGAGCTCATAGAAGCTTTTGGGGAGTAGCGGCTTAGTGATTAGGGCACTAAACCCACTCCCACAGACTGCCACTCTGTGTCCCTGAGCAAGACCCTTAACCCCCAGTCTGCTCCCCATGGGGGTGGGTTAAATGCAGAGGTAAATTTCTCCAATGTGAGATCAAAAAAGTTCAATTATTATTATTTTCTTCTCCTTTTTTTGATAGAAGTAAGAATCTAATTCTGTTGATTTTGTGTTTTTAAGTTTAATAGTTATTTCTGCTCTTTCCTAAAGAATCAACCAGCAACAGAAGGAAGAGGCCCGACCACGAGCGATCCCGCGGATCTCAAAGACCCGCGAGGCCGAGATCCGGAAGATCCTGCGGGCCAACCTGCAGAACACCCGGCAAAGGGTGAGGAAGACGCCTCGCGGCCCAACAGAGGCTCCGGTCTCCACGGCAGGAAGCGGTTTGTCATGCTTTCTTTGTTTCCCCCTCCCAGCTGCGCTCGTACAGCAGACACGACCTCTTCATGGACCCGTTTGAGGACGACATGAGTGAAGTTCGCTTCAGGAAGCAGAGAGTGGAGATGGAGAGGAGGGTAGGTTCCAGCTTAGGGCTGAACCAGGGGAGTAAAGCAGGTTCTGATCCCGACGGGCTTCTGGATCAGCACCTGCCTCCACATCACTAAACAGTAAAAAATTGTTGAAGCTTTTTTGTTTTTATTTAAATAGTTTTCCATTTTTAATGTTACTTTTTAGCTTTGCCTTGGAGTCAGTTCAATTAGATTTTGATTTCCACTTTTAAATGTATTGTCTTTGCTTATTTAGGTTAATAATTAGCAATAATTCTAAGTTTGTGCTCATTAGATACATTTAAATGTTAGTGGTGATTAATGCGCTTCGTTAATGCCAGACTAAAGGCTGATTTATACTCAGAAACCAGGTCGTCTGCGTGTGTGTTTCAGTTAACGCAGATATGCCCCCCTCGCCCTCTGCAGAC